TTTTAATTACTACCACTTTATTATTTTTTTTTACTAAATGTCTATTTATTTTAATTTTATTTTAAATGTTTTATTTTTGAGAGAGAGAGTGCAAGCAGGGAAGGAGCAGATAGAGAAGGGGACAGAGGATCCAAAACAGGATCCGTACTGACAGCAGCAAGCCCAATGTGGGGCTCAAACTTATGAACCGCAAGATCATGACCCAAGCCGAAGTCGGATGCTCGACTGACTAAGCCATTCAGACACCCCTATTTATTTATTTATTGAAAGAGAGAGAGAGAGAGAGAGAGAGAGAGAGCATGCACATGCATGCACAAGTGGAGAGGGGGCTAAGAGAGAGGGAGGGAGAGAATCTCAAGCAGGTTCTGCGTTATCAGCACAGAGCCCAATGCGGGGCTTGATCCCATGAGATCATGACCTGAGCCAAAATCAAGAGTTAGATGTTTAACTGACTGAGCCACCCAGGCACCACTAATTATTACCACTTTGTAATATAACTTGAAATCTGGAATTACAATACCTCCAGTTTTATTTTTATTTTTCAAGACTTTCTTCCATACAAATTTTAGGATTGTCTGTCCTAGTTCTGTGCAAAATGCTATTGGTATTTTGATAGGGATTGCATTAAATTTATAAGTTGCATTGGATCATACAGACATTTTAACATTATTTGTTCTCCCAATTCATAAGCATGGAATGTCTTATTTCTTTGTGTATTCTTAAATTTCTTTCATCAGTGTTTTATAGTTTTCAATTTTTTTTAACATTTACATATTTTTGAGAGACAGAGAGAGACAGACGATGAGTGGAAGACAGGCGGAGAGGGAGAGGGAGACACAGAATCTGAAGCAGGCTCCAGGTTCTAAGCTGACAGCACAGAGCCTGACATGGGGCACGAACCCACAAACTGCGAGATCATGACCTGAGCTGAAGTCGGACGCTTAACCAACTGAGCCACCCACGCACTCCTGACAGTTTTCAGAATATGGATCTTTCACCTCTTAAAAGTTAGGTTTATTCCTAAACATTTTATTGTTTTTAGTTCAGTTGTAAAAGGAACTGTTTTCTCAATTTCACTTTCTGCTGCTTCATTATGAGTGTATAGGGATGCAACAGATTTCTGCACACTGATTTTGTAATCTTCAACAAAGGACTGAATATTCAATGGGAAACTGACATGCTTTTCAACAAATGGTGTGTGGAAAACTGGACAGCCACCTGCAAAAGAATGAAACCAGACCAATATCTCTCCCCATACACAAAAACAAACAAAAACTGATTAAAGATCTAAATGTGAAACCGTAAAATTCCTACAAGAGAGCATAGGCAGTAATCTTTCACCATCAGCCATAGCAACATTTTTCTAGATATGTTTCTTGAGGCAAGCCAACATAAACTACTGGGATCACGTCAAACTAAAATGTTTCTGTAGAGCAAGGGAAACAGCCAATAAAACTAAAAGGTAGCCTACAGACTGGGAGAAGATATTTGCAAATGACATATCTGAAAAAGGATTAGTATCCAAAATATATAAATACTGACATACGTCAATACCAAGAAACAAATAATCCAATTAAAAATGGGCAGACAACATGAACAGACATTTCTCCAAAGAAGACATATAGATGTCCAACAAACACATGAAAAGATACTCAATACCATTCATTATCAGGGAAATGTAAATCAAAACTACAATGAAATATCACCTCATTAGGGTTGGTGAGAATATGGAGAAAAAGGAACCCTCTTGCACTGCTGATGGGAATGCAAATTGGTGTAGCCACTATGGAAAACAGCATAGAGGTTCCTCAAAAAATTAAAAATAGAACTACCCAATGATCTAGGAATTGCGCTACTGGGTATTTACTCCCAAAATACAAAAACATAATTCAAACGGATATATGCACCCCTATGGTTATTGCAACATTATTTATACTAGCCAATCTATAGAAACAGCCCAGTCCATTGACAGATGAATGGATAAAGAAGATGTGGTATAGAAACACAATGGAATATTATTGTGATAATATTGTGAATAATATTGTCGATATTATCATAAAAAAGAATGAAATCTTGCCATTTGCAACAATATAAATAGGGCTAGAGAGTATAATGCTAAGCAAAATAAGTCATTCAGAGAAAGACAAATACTATATGACCTCACTCATATGTGGAATTTAAGAAACAAAACAAACAAGCAAAGGAAAAAAAGAGAGACAAACCAAGAAACAGACTCTTAACTATAGAGAATAAGCAGATGGTTACCAGAGGGTATGTGGGGAGATGGGAGAAATAGGGGATGGGGATTAAAGAGTACACTCATGATAAAAAATAAAATACAATGAAATACAATAAAATACAATAAAATACAATACAATAATTTTAATAAAATATTGAAAAAATTCTGCTGTTTGTATTTTCTCATTGACACAAAAATTGTTTAATAAACTTTAAATTTCTAGGTAGAAGAAACTTTGGTTTCTGACTTTGTTCCTATTTTCTAATTTTACTGTGTTTTATTAAAAGAATATTGTCTGTTTTGTCTATGTTTTGGAATTCTTCTTTGATGTATACTACTTCGATGTCAAATTTTTATAAATGTTCCATGTTAACATGGTACAGATTTCAAACTATATTAATCAGATTTACCTTACTATTTAGATTACATTCCCCCTGGATTTTTTATGAACCAAGATAGGTGGATTAAACTTTGTTTTAGTATTTCAAACTAATGGTAATTGTATTATTTATCCCATAATTTTTTTTTATGAAAGTTTCACCCTGTAACATTATGTATCCTTCTTTATGTTATTTATTGCTTTTTGGTTTGACTTCTAATTTGTCAATATTAAGATGATTCCTGTTTTCCTCACTTGTATGCATGTGGTATAACCTTTAGTTATCCTTTAATTTTCCGCCTTTCTAAATCACTTTATTTTTGTATGTTTCTTGCACATAGATCTGGGTTTTTATTATTGTGATCAATTGAATTTTTCTTAAAATAGGTGATTTAAGACTAATATTTAAGACCAATAGTATACTTTTGTGCTGACCATTCTAGGAAAATTCTCCCTGGTACTCAGAATGATCTGGTTTAAATGGATGGTAAAATCTTATATTAGGACTTCACTGAATTATAGCTTTAAATATATGTTTAGTTCCACTGTTCTGCTTTTCTTAGTTGGAAATTCAATTTAGGCCACTACTGGAACTTCCATACTTTCTATAGCAATCATTTTCTCTCTAATTCTTCTAAACTCTTATTATATTTCTTAAATTTCTCATATTATTTGCCTTGTTTTCATTTTTATCTTCTGTGTATCTTACTATGCCAACCACATAGTTCATCTTCCTTTGAGTTTCTTCTGATTTCGTTTTTATTTGTATGGAAGTTTTTTTCTTCAATAAAAATAAAACAGAAACTTTCCTCCAAAGTTCTGTTAGTCTATGATCCAACACTTCTGTGTTTTCCTACCATGTCTTCTAACTTCATGAAATTCTGCTTAGTAGTACTCCTTCCTCAGCAGCAATTCATATCTTACTTTTTAAACTTATGGTAAATTTCTAATTTGCTAATTTAATAATTGCAATTATTTACCAATTTAATATTTGCAATTATTATGTATTCTATAGCAATATTTTTCCAGTGAGTGTTCTTATCTGCTGGTTAGTTTTTTTATTTTTTTTAAGATTTCTTAATGTTTTTCATTTATTCTGAGAGAGAGAGATTGAGAGAGAGAGAGAGCATGAGCTGGCAAGGGGCAGAGAGAGAGGGAAAGGAGAGAGAAGAGAATCAAAGGAGGCTCCATGCTGTCAACACAAAGCCCGATGTGGGGCTCGATCCCACAAACTGTGAGATCATGACCTGAGCCAAAACCAAGAGTCAAGGCTTAACCAACTAACCCACCCAGGTGCCCCTCTGTTAGTTAGTTTTGCTTAAGTTTTCCACATTTCTATATTTTTCAATGTGTCTTCTTAACAATTTTTAAGAGGTTGCATCTAGGGCTAGAATCCTTTAATGTCTCCTAGTCAATTTCTCTTACTTAACCAAAGTTAAATGAGCAGTCCTTTTCTCTTAATATTAAAAGTACACATGCTTCTCAGTCTTAGTATTCAATCAACTAATACACATTTACAGTTCCTCAAATATGCATAACTCCTTCCTACAATCCTGGTTTTGGTGAACTATTCCCTGTATTTATAATATGTCTATTTTCACTTACTTGACTATCAATTTGGTACCAAAATAAAAATAATATCTACTCTTCCAGACTATTTAGCATGTTTGAGATGTTTTACCTAGATCGTGTGTAGTTTTCATCAGTGTTATCAATAAACTCTCTGCAAATTTAAGTACCAAAATGAAATGACAACAGTGAGGTTCTGAGAGGAGCTCCATATCTAGCAATAGTTAAATGATACCCTGTTGGGCTCATTTGTATAGAAAATGGATTTTATAAAGAATAATTTTGCACTGGACAACATAATATGAAAAATACTCATTATATCAGCAAGTGACAGTATCTAAATTCTAGACTTTGGGGAAAAAAGAAATATTCTAGGATCTTCAAATAACAAAAATAATCCATAGGCCTCAATGTTAGAAAAAAATACAAATAATAATGACTTAACATGTCAGCAAAAGAGCAGCTCTCATATACACTGTATTCCCTGTGTCACGAAAGTTTTCACTGAAATCATATCCATATGTGATTTATTTGATTTGATGAAATATGTTATTGCATCTTTAAGATGAACAGTATTTTCTTCAGCAAACAAATAGAAATAAACTATATTACTTAAATTGTGAATTTGTTCTATAATCTACTATTAATAAACATGCTTTCATAAAACACTTTCACAATCTTTATCATAGGAAGCTATTCTTTTCCACTGTAAGATTATTCAAGTCAAATTTCATGTTATATTAGATACGAAACTACTAAAAATACAATTTAAATAGATATTTTCACAATTCATTATGAAAAACATCAACTTACTTGTGACCTAAATGCTTCAGAAAGTATCCCAGAACCTTCAGAGCTTGAACCCAAATACTTTCACTTTTAGAGGCCAATAATTTGTAGATTACTCTAAAAAATACAGAAATAAATGACCTTTTAGGCACCTACAAATATTAAAAATAGAAGCACTATATACTTTACAAACAAACCATAAATATAAAAAATATAAAGTACCTCTCAGGATTTAAAATTCTTCGGAAAAATTAAAAATTATCATATTTTACAAATTTTTCTATAAACTTGGTCTTCCAATAAATACTCAAACATTCAATGTGATTCGTTGCTTATAAGCACTGCCTTCCAGGCATGTTGAAAAGACATTTTTTCTATTTTAAGATATATGATTAGTTAAGCCACATTTCCCCTTCTATTAGAACTGTCTCTGACATTTCTACATAATGACCTTTTTTTCTTGTTTATACCTAATTGGATCATGGATAGATAGTTGCCCAATTATTTCTCTTTTCTGAGCATTTGGAATGAGCTCTGAGAAACAATATCTAGCACTTTGGGGGCTCCTGAATAAAAAAAGTATTTAAAATAGAAAGGATAATGCAGTCTTGTTTTGTTCACATAGATGAGTCTATACACAAAAGGAAGAACAAAGCAACCATACAGGAAGTAGCAGAGAAAGCAAAGTTGTTTCCTTCTAGCTTTCCAATTCCTTGTTCTTATCCTAATGAGATTTCTATAACAAACGCATTATTCTGTTTTTACTTTAATCGGTTTGAGAATTTTTCTGTTACTTGGAGCAAAAAAGTCTCTGCTAGCAACACAAAACCTCACCTAACCTAACCTAACCTATAGAGGCACTTCATATACTATATAAGAATAGGGTTATATTCATTATAACATTTATAAATATCTAAAAATGTTTATCTTTTGTTTTCTTCAAAACATAAAAGTATTTTTTCTATAAGGTAGTAGTGGGTAATAATTCTTTTAAAACTCATTCTACAATTTAAGAAAGTTCTTTGAAGGTGGTGGTGGGGCCTATAAAATTGGGATATGCTTTACTGTATTAAATTCTTTTTGAAAAATACAATGTCATTTTATATTTTTAAAATGAAGTAATCTAGGCCAAACAAAAAAGTTGGTATTAGAAGATACAGTACAATTTTTATATTATTTCAGTAACATTAACAAAGGGAAACAAATAACTTAAAGCTAGTGACATCTGTTTTATGTTTAATAATGGCTTATACTATTAAAAAAGAAAATAATATATTGTTGATATTGCCTCTTACTTGTGTGTTACTCAATTGAAGAACAGACTAGGTAAACTCTAGAGGTAACTATTTCCTTTAGAAGATGAAGTTTTTCAAAAGCCTCAAGTTCCTAAATAAATATGTATTTACACTGAAATTGATTTTTAGAATGTTTAAAGACAAAGATCAGTAATGAAAAAAAAAAAGAACAAGTTTGAGACTAGGAAAGTTATACATGTCAGGAAAAGAACTATTCAGGAAATCGTGAGAAAGAACCTTCAACAGAAAAAATAATCTTGAGAACAGAAGTAAAAGCTCACAGCCTAAAAATGTGACTAGCTTCAGACATGGAACGAGAAACTCCCATAGAATTCCCATTTTCTAGAAATAACTTCAAATTTAGGTATAACAAAGGCGTAAGATCCACCCAGGACTAACAGAAATTATGATTGACAAGTGAAACATGGAAACATCAAGGGCCATCATTCATCAACATTACATAGGATTTTCTTCACAACTAGATAAGTGTTGCTTACAAAACAAGAAACAAACACTGGATTTGCAATACAATATGAATAGGAAATTTACTGACAAATCAGTTAATGAATCTACTTGCAATATAATAAGATAATTAGGTGAATCCTAATTCATCTGTTTGAGCTTACTATATTAAGTCAGAATATTGTCTATATTGAGATAAGTACTTATTTGTTCTTTTCTTTAAAGAATTTCAGATATAAAAATACCACATTTTTAGCTACTCAGTTCAATGTTGTATTTCATATTTCACACGGTCTTCCTTAAAGTCAGTTAAAATATCACCAAACTTAAATTAAATTCATTCTTTGTATTCATTTCTTAGTGTGTATAAATTATAATTAATCAGAAGTTTCCCCAGAAAATATTTTATATGTAACTGTTATCCTTACATACCTACTTACTAGGATACAGACCATTAAATGTCCTATAGAATAAGCCTACTTTTTCCATATTTTTTTTTTCAACGTTTATTTATTTTTGGGACAGAGAGAGACAGAGCATGAACGGGGGAGGGGCAGAGAGAGAGGGAGACACAGAATCGGAAACAGGCTCCAGGCTCTGAGCCATCAGCCCAGAGCCCGACGCGGGGCTCGAACTCCCGGACCGCGAGATCGTGACCTGGCTGAAGTCGGACGCTTAACCGACTGCGCCACCCAGGCGCCCCTCCATATTTTTAACAAAGCCTACAGTCACCACATTTTTTTCAAGTGGAAAAAGTGAAGTAGAAATTCTTCCATCTCTGTCATTGTTTTGAACACATTGGTGACAATATGACACGTTTAGCAGGTGTCAATCATGAGCAACCAGGTCTTGGTATTCATTGTGCCTAATCATTCCATTCACACTATACATTTAAATTACTATTTCACTCCCCTAAAGACCTAACCACTCTCCTTTGTATGATCATATTTTTACCTGTCAAAGTAATGAAAAATCCTATGTCTGCATTTCATATTAACCAATCTAAGGTTGGTATCATCCACAGGGATGAGGAGGATATTTTCAATTAATTCATTTATCAATTAATATAATAAATAAAGCAGATACTAGGATCTAAGGTCAAGGATACTAATTGTTCAATCTAAACATAATTTAAGAAGAGAAGCATAACTGTATTATATTATTAGGTTGGAACATATGAAACTGCCATTATTTATTTAGTAAACAGTTAAGTATCAGCAATTTTATATAATTCAACCTCATAGTAAGAAAATATTTGTAGTTGTTAACAATTAAACGTGTAATCTTCTTCAAACAGATTAGCAACTCCATTGTAAACTCAAAAGTATTATTGATATCACAAATAGGACAGCCACATAGAATTGACGTGACTGTTTTCTCTGATCTAGAAAACTGTCACTTGCTGATATAAATGGCCAAATAAAAGATGCGCTAATAAAATGCCTTGGCAGGTATATTATTTCAAAATTCTTTTTATAACTTGTGGAAGCACACTGAGTTGCATACGGCATAACTTACATTTCCTCTTCATTCTAATAATTAAGACTTCACAAAAATAAAAAAGGAGAATCCCTAAGGGCCTGGGGTATAGGTTAAGTTCATAAGAATACTACTCAAGGAACTGTTTTTCACTTATCTACATAATTACTTACAGTCATTCTGACTAAAGTTAGTCTTCAACTCTTTTAATTTTGTCATTTTGTTCCAATTGTATTGCCACTGCCCTAACCCATCATCCCCAATACTGATGAATAAAATAATCTCTCTACTCTTTTTGCTACATCAGTTTTATCCCTCTCCAGTTCATTTTCCACACTGCTGACTGTAAATCAAAACAAAATGGAACTCTAAGCAAATCAGTTTCCCTTTCAAAATATTTTATTTCGTCACCAACAAAATATAAAATCTGAACTTTCTATTATGTGGACCTTCCAAATCTGTTCACTATATATTTCTTGAGACTAAACTCATATAATTTTCTAGTGCTCTCTTTTGCTGAAATATACTATGCTCTTTTGTCTTCCTGAAAAATATATACATATGTATTTGTTCTTCCCATATGTATTTGTTCTTGACATATTTCACCAGTTTTCTTGAGTATTAGAAGATCAATACTAGTTTCTCCACTTATCCCCTTCTTGTATATAAGATTTTGCTGTATTTATTCAAAAGTTCCTAGAGTAGGGGTTATTCTAGAAAGCAAAACTGTACTCAATTAAAGTCTATTAATAATACTAATATTATAATCATACCTTATTCCATTTCTTTGATCAAATGCTGGGATCATTGAGGCTGGATGTTCTGACATTAAAGCCACTAGCAACTGTAACACATCATGAATATTTTCATCCTGCATAAGGATCACCAATATTTCTATAGTTAATATTTTATTCTACTGCTTTGAATAAAATAATTAAAACAAAGACCCAGACCATGTCCTACCTCATGCATGGTAAGTAGGTAATTTAATATACTCTGAAGTTCATCTTCCTTGACCCCTCGGTCCTAATTTTTAAAAAAATGTGTATTACTTAATTTTAAATCTAAAATTAAAACTTTAAAGACAGGCATCAAAACGATCATTTAAAAAATGTGAACAATTTAAAAGTAGTGATGTTTTCATTTAAATGTTTAAATACTTCATAATTCATAGACTATATTATTTCGAGTTAAATAAGTAAATATTTGGAACGCTGTATCTAGTCTTTTGAAGTTGCTGATTTGATTGACCATCACTATCAAGAGTTGGTATATTGTGATCATCTAAACTGTATTCATATTACTATTTTCTAAGAATTTATTCTTTTCTTAAAATGATGCAAATTACTGCAAAACTTTATAATATCAATTGTGCATATATTACCTTTGTTTTTCATTTCTCTTTATCTTAATCTTTTAAAAATCCTACTGTGATAAAAGATAGAATGTAAGACTTCTCAAACAGGTATACAGACTATTTTCTGGAATAAAAACTTTATGTTCATTTCTAATGCATATGTTCCTTCTCCATTTCAGATATACCTCTTAGAATGGAGGATCTCAAAAAAGGATTAACAAAAGGTGAAGTTTCACAAAAGTTAACAGTAAGATTTACTTTAGAGTGTTAAAAGCTATTCATAAGTTAAAGATAGCTACTGCTAATTTTACAATATTGATTTTAAACTATGCCAAAAATTCTTTTACACTTAATATATTGAAATTCTAAATTATGTAAAATTATTTTACCTTTAGTATGAGCTGTTTCAGAAAAAGTAGCATAAATGCCCGTAGCGATATAATTTCTTTTTGTGATGGCCGGGGACCATCTAGAATAAAACAGAAAACAAAAACAAAAACAAAAGGAAAAAAAAAAAAAACCTCACGATATTCAACAAACATGATGCAATTATGTTGGAACACTATGGAATTCTTTAATAGTTGTATTTATTTGAATACTCGTTAATATTAATGCTATCGAATTTCTATTATATCAGAGGATCCAAGCATTTATCTTCAGATTTTGGCAATTTCAAATTATTCGCCAAACTTCAGATTTGGAGGAAAGAATTACTTTTTAAATAATTATAATATCATCCGTTCATAAGTGCATAATCATCAAGTGTTTACATTATTTTTTTCCTACTTTTATTAATAGGTTCCCTTTTCCCCCAAATCCAAGTTTTCCTAACATTTCTTTCATCTTCAATTAAACCAGTCTTCATTTAAAGAGCATCTCCATTTCACCCCACACATTATATGATAAAGCACAGAAAAGTGACATGCTAATGTTTGTTTTGCAGCTTTTTTTCCTTTGTGACTTAAATATACTAAATACATATTATGGTGGACACTCAATAAATGCTTATGAGTGAATAAATGAATGTGAACAGTTAAAGTACACGTTAATTTCATCATAACATCTAAATTTCAAAGCAATTAATTGCAAATATCTAATTACCAATAAATGAGAACATTCAATGATATATGTCATACATATAATGTAATAATTAAATTATACCTTTAAGTATGTAGCTAGAACCATAAAGCTTTCTTGAAGCAATGAGGATTTACATAGCTTCTTCTTAAGTTTTAAAATAAAAATCACTTTATGTATAATTTATAACATCTTATTCACTCAATAAATATTTACATGCAAATTATCATCAAAGAATCCATTCCATCTACTCTTGAGAAGGAAATCTCTTTCTCATTTCCCAGACTGCACTCCACATTTTTTGCCCCACTGCTGGCAACAGGATACAAGCTACCTTTTCCTTCCTTACCAATATTTAGTATTAATTTTTCAACTCTTTTTCATGGTGAAATATAGCACATATATAGAAGATGTAAACATACACCTTAATGAAGAGTTCAGAATTAATACCTGTATAATCACTTTGTAGATCCAGATACTGAACACTGACAGCAAATTGGCAAAGAAAGCCAGTAACAACCGGTGTGCAGGTAAAGGAACTACACAAGAGTGGAGGGGTGAGGTCCTGACTTAAATCAGATTAAATAATTGCAGATTTCTGATTTTTGTTGTGTAAGTGTTCCCATCATGACTGAATTCAAGATCAATCTACTTAGTTTAAAAACGAGTTTGTAAAATCCCTGAATATTTAACAATCAGCTGCACAGCAGCTAGCTCCAGTGCACTGAAGTCCTCACCTCACGCCAGTCCTCAGCTCTGAGCTACATCTTGATCACATCCTCCATCCCAACCCAGTAGAGACAGTCATTATCTTAGTAATAATACCCTTACTTCCATTTAATGAAATTAGAAAAGTTTTATACTGTCTGAAAGTGTCAATTGTTTCTTTTTCTACCGTAAGGATAAGAATAAAAATCGTGGTTATGTCATAGGATATTTTGTAATGGTTAAATAGATCAACATATGTAAAGGGATCAGAATAGTCCCTGGTCCATTTTAATCATAAGCACTCAGTAAATGTTAGCTATAATTACTATTGTCAGATATTGTACAATGTAAAGAGCATGTTGAAAAAAATACATACATATGTGTGGGTTTTAAGCATATACATGATACAGATCCATATTTTACAAAAAAAAGATGAATCTTACAAATATAAAATTGAGTGATGTAACAAATCACAAATGTACCATTTATATAAAATACAGAAGCTAAACAATCAATAGGTTAGGAATCCATACATATATAGCAAAATGGTAAAGCACAAGTAAAAAAATAATAAGCCCTCAAGTAAGGAAAAGGCATAAAAAACCTAAAACAAAAAACATAAAACATAAAATTGAGGATGGGGTTATCTCTATGGCTAGGAATGGGAAGAAGATATGACCAAGGACAGGGACATACAGGTTTATGGCAATGTTCTATTTCTTAAGCTTAGTGAGACCTATGTAAGGTTTATCACGTATTAACATATTTGCATTTATGACATATTCAAAAATACGAAAATTATGAAACACGCCTCATCTGAAGGACCTACATGTAGACACGTGTAAAACTGTGTCTGTATGAGCAGAGAAAAAGAGGGTAGAAGAACATACAAGACTGGTAATACTGGCTCCTTGAGAGAACAGTAAGTTGTTTTTTTTAATAGGCCTTTGTATGATTCCATTTGCTAATGATATCTGTTGCCATATCTGTTAATATGAATTTTTATAGTGAACCTGATATAATAATAATTTAAGGGACAAAAGTATTAAATAAGAGTCAAAGCAAAAAGATCCTAGCTCTCAAGTCAGAGCCTACATATGAATTAGTAAGTACTACGAAAAGCTAGCATAGTACAAATGGGCTATTGTTAAAAGAAAGCATTTTAGTTCCAAATGGTATTTAAAAAAAGTTATTTAGAAAGCTACGTTTCAAGTCAGAACCTCACATTTTACTAAATATCAAAATTAATTTCAGATGGATTAAAAATAACAAATAAAAAGATGCATTAAAAAGAATAAATCAAACTATAAAGAAAAACAAATTCTCTCCACTTTCTTGTCAGTTTTCTTCACAATATATTTATTTGGTTTCTTCCCTCCTGTCTCCTTGAGGCAGTCAGAGCCAGCCACGTTAAGGGCCCTGGGATAGGAGAAACCAACAAGCTGAAGGAGACACCAGAGTTTGGCAGGGCCAAGGAGGCAAGTAAGTCTGGCAGGACCTTCACGGTCATGGCGAGGAGACAACAAGAGCCAGGAGTGTGGTAAGGGGCAAAGAAACAATTAGGGCTAAGGAGGTGACAAGGACCATCCAGAGTTAGAGGTGAAGAGATGGTCAGAGCTGACTGGCAACGTCAAAGCTGAGAAGGTGATGGTGCATGTGTCGGAACACTGTTTCATAAAGTAGAATGAGCAAATATAGAAATATATTAAAGATAATGTAAGCCAGATTTTTCAATATTGAAGGAAGAAAGCTATAAATATAGTAAGTTTGAGACTACACTGAACCAAGTGGTTTTAAATCAGAATTGAAGGTATCTATGTATACACTTGTGTTTCCTACATCCATGAAGAATGCCTAGAAGCGATAACACTCAAAGAGCAATAAGCCAAATAAGCACACTAACATCCAAATCTTGGTTTCTGAAACCATATCCACCAACCAAACCAGGGCTCCTTGGAGAAATGTCTGATTCCAGGACTGAGATAAGTATAACATGAACCAAAAACTCTGGCTCTCTTGTGGGAAAGAGCCAGGACTGAAAAATTATGGACATCTGTCATAAAGACCCCAAAACTAAGGTGAAAGTCTCCTACTAGCCAAATCTGAGACAACTTTAACATCGAATAAATAATGATACAACCCAGGGTATATACTCTCTGGGCTAAATCCGTTAAAACTTAAAAATTTCCATTTGTTTGAAACAAACCGTATCTAATCATTTACATACTGTCTATGGTTGTTTTTGTTATACGCTGGCAGAGTTGACTACTTGCAACAGAGACCATAAGGCTCCCTAAGCCTAAACTATTTCTGTGTGGCCCCTTGCAGAGAAAGTATGCCAACTATTCATGTAATACACTGAATAAAATAGAAATCCATGAAATATTTGCTGATATAAAATGAACAAATAATTGAAAGAGAAAAAAACAAGTTCCTCCTTACAAACTAATAAATGGCTTAGGAAATAATGTCATTTAGCAGCAATCACAATAAAGATCAATTATGACAAGAGTCACTGATGAACTAAAACCAGTAAGTGAAGTTTTGTTGAAGAACAGGATATTTACATAGTCTCAATGTATTTCTCCACCAAATACTTATTATTCCAAAAGAGAAAGTAGTAATTTTATAATGAAGAATACTGGCAGACACCACATTAATCAAATGATCAAAATTAACATCTCCAGTAATACGACAACTGAACGCCACGCGCTTCTTGACGTGATACAATGTGACAGAATTGGTATGACTTGTGCGTGACTGCGTCCAAAAATGAAAAACCTGAATCATCATGGGCAAATATCAAACAAATCCAAATTAAGGGACATTCTACAAAGTAATTTGCTTCTATTCTTCAAAAATGTGAAGGTCATGGAAGACAAAAATGCTAAAAATAACTTTTCTATATTGAAGAATATTCAAGTGACAAGGTAACTTAAATGCAATATATGATTCTCGAATTGGATTAAGAGGAAAAAAAGAGATTTTTTTCTAAAAAGGGTATTATTGGAATAATTGGTGAAATTTAAATGCTATCTTTGGATTAGATGATACCATTGTATTAATGTTATTACCAGGATTTAAATGGTTGCCTTTGGTTATCTAAGAGAGTGTCTTTTAGGAAATAAACAGGAAAGTATTTAAGGTAATAAGGTATCACATCTACAATTTATTCTCGATTTAGAAAAAAATACATACACCTATATGTAGGTCTGATTATATTTACATAAAATGGAGAATGATGAAGTCTATGTGGTAACATATTAAATACTGGGAAACATGGTGGAGTTTTAGTAATTCTTTATAAAATTCTTACAACTTTTCTGTAAATTATAAATTAGTCTTCTGAAGCAGAAATTAGTATGTGTGAATATATGATGTGCCTGGAGTAGAGAAAACTCTACCATGCTATAGTGTTAGAGAACAAGGGCTCTCAGTCACATAGACATGATTCAAATTTTAGTTCTATCACTTTGTACCAACTTTCACCTTCTTGACATACAAAATAATAGTGATACCGACTACAAGCTATATGTATACACCTATGTGTATGTGTAAACATGTCTATGTATATATAATTACATTACATATAAACAATTGAACAAAATTAACAGATGGAATGCTTAGCAGAGATTTAAACTCATGGTGAACATCTAGTAAATTTTAGGCATTATCAAGATTAAAAGCAATAAAAATGTCATAAATGACAGAATAATATATCAGACTGTATAATATAACTTTTAAAGCCCTATCATTAAAAGACACAAAATAAGCTAATAAATGAATATTAGAATGCTTCTACGTTTATTTTCCCTTACTGAGAATTAAAAAAAAAATTTTTTTTAATGTTTATTTATTTTTGAGAGAGAGAGACAGAGTGTGAGCCGGGGAGGGTCAGAAAGAGAGGGAGTCACAGAATCTGAAGCTTGTTCCAGGTTTTGAGCTGTCAGCACAGAGCCCCATGTGGGGCTCAAAATCACAAACTGTGAGATCATGAGCTGAGCCGAAGTCAGACGCTCAACAGACTGAGCCACCCAGGCGCCCAAAAAGATTTTTATAAAACAAAAATTTTCAATGTCTTTGTGAGTATGCTGAGAAAAGCACTCTAACATATTACACAGTAACTACTCTCAATAATCCTACATAAATCAAAGACAGAAGTTAATTATTATATACACAGGTGTAAACACTGCATTACTTATAAAATCAAAATTTCAGGGGCGCCTGGGTGGCTCAGTCAGTTGAGCATCCGACTT